GATCATGAACTATACTATGTACGTATTTCCTATCTCAAAATGGGAAATACTCTGTCAATGTCAGCAATCAAGGTCAGACAGGATACTAAGGCCTACAAAATGAGTTGCCCACCCTTGAGAAAAGGTGTTGGAATGGAGTTCAGATTTAGGTAAAAGCTATTGTATTTGACCCTCCCTGTTCTGCTTTGCCCTCTTCATAGCACTCCCCCAGCCTTCAAAAATGCTACACAGAATAGTCAAAGGACAATCAAATAATGGTACACTGTACTATGGTAGATGGGGAATTCCTGGAAAGTGGGCACATCTCACTAATTTTTAGGGATCCCTCAGCCGCAGCACCATATCAATGCTTTACTGCTGCAAGTCTGATACTGTATGGTAATCCTCTTAGCTACACCCTCTGCATTGTGCAGCAATAGTAGGACAAGCCGAACCATATCAACTAATACTCCAGTTCTGAAAACACCTTAAACAACAAGGGCATGCTATTTTTAAAAAAATTGTCTACCACGTACTGTTACGCTGTTATGGTAACACAACTGCTCATCTGAACTAGAACAATATGCTATCTTGGAAGACCATCCAGAAGGTGCAATTGATTCAAAATGCAGAGGCCCACATGCTAGATGGCCCACGTTCTCAGGAGCACATTAGCCTTACTGCAGCCCTTGCATTGGCTTCTAATTGGCTTCCAGGTGCAATTCAAATTGGCTCTCAAGATAATAAATCAAGACCTACAGGGCCTGACACCCAAATATCCCCAAGATCCGTTCTCCACCAAAATCAACAAAGCTGATTCATTTCTCACAGTCATTTGTAGTACTCCACTTCCATGAAGAGAAGTCTGAGATACGGAGACTCTGCTTTTCCGCAGCAAACCCATCCTTTGAAACAGCATCCTGGATGAAAACAGGCTGGCCCCTGGGGTGTGTTCATTTCAGAAGACGCTGAAAATTGAGCTCTTCCAAAGAGCTTTTGTGGTATGAGTAGCTGCTTCTGTTTTTTGGAACGTTTTTGTTCATGTTTTGCTTTGTTTTTGTTTCATCTTTGATTTGATTATATTTATATTACTCCCCCTCAAGTCCTGCTATGCTGCCTCACCATGGCAGGGTGGGAGGTGTTCTTGGAAGGGACGAACAAAGTACGCTAGGTGTTCGGAATGGCAAGTTATACTGTATTCGTTAGGTGAGTTGCCTTCTCCTTAGAGAAATAACTTTTAAACGCAGCTTTTAAAAGCTTCTGGAAAATGTTACTTCTTGGATTAAACAGCAAAAGGGTGCTCAGAACATGGACTTTAGAAAGTTTAACAACAGATTAAGGGCTCAGATGGACTTGGAATTATAATTTCAAATGCCCACAAAGAGCTTTGAATTAACTAGAGGAAACTTTCCCTTGGGATGTTTTAAGTTCTTTTATGACAAGAGGACTTTGAAAAGAGCTTTTGTACAATTAGAGTAGGTGCTACTCATGTTCTTAAGCATCCTACAGTTCTCTTGCCATGGGGTCTAATTCCTGGTCCAATTCTGTATCCCAGGTGTTGTGTTGGGACCCCAGATGCAACTCCTCTCTGTTCATGCACATATAGTTGAAAATGTTTAGCATAATCAGACTGGTGCATGACTTGAGGCATATTCCAATTTCTGGACCCCTTTTCCCCATACTACTGATTCCCATTAGTTAGCTCCATGATGAGCTTCACTAGTTCACCAAAGGCTAATACCTAGGACCTGTAAAATCCTGCTTCCCCTAGGATAGACCTGATTTCTTTGTTCTTTGCTGGGCATGGTCTTGGTAGTCTTGATCCTTTCTTCTAAAAGCTTCCTGATCACAGGACCTATAATCTAGCCCAGATACTTCACTTCTTGTTTACAACTTGGAGCTTTGTGGCCATGTTCAGCCAGTCCTTCTAATAGATAGTAAGTCCTTCTTGTACACCTCTTTATCCTTACTGGCAGCAGTAGATCATCTATATACTGGATCAGTTTGCTATCCTCAGTCAGCTTTATAGTTTTCAAAGCAGTCTTCAAAAAGTCATGGTAGGCAACTCTACATATCCTTGGGGTAGCCTAGTCCCTGTTAACTGCATTCCTTTCTGGGTAAAACAAATAGGTATTGACAGTCGACTGCTACCAGTATACTGAAAAAGGCAGCTCACAGTTCTATTATGGTAAGGTAAGTAGTGCTAGGTGGTATCAATTACAGTTGGATTTGGCACTACTCCATGTCAAGAAATAACATACTCATTGATAGCCCTCAAGTCCTGGATGACTTGCAGGGTATTGCAATGGAACTTGAATAAAGTTTCGGGACTTCCGGAGGACTGAAGATGTCTCTGCAAAAAGCAGAGCTAACAACTACAGAGAAGAACAAAGAGCCGGTTTGTGCACCAGCTTTTCAAACCTCTCCAGATAAAGGAGAGGATGAGAGATTGCCTACAAGTGCTACAGACACTTGCTCCTCACGAAGAGTCCACAAGATAGCAGTCTCCATCAGGTTTTGAGCACTAGGGGATGAGGGAATAGTCGTGCTCAAACTGTGGTCGGTGCCTTTGAAAGGATGCTAAGTTTGCATACTTCCTTTTCTAATCACATTCAGGAATTAGAATTAGAAAAGGAAACCTTTGGACTGACAAGTCTGAAAACACCGGGTGAGTTTGCCTTCAATTCTTAATGAAAGAAAAATTTAACTACAAGCTTAAGAACTTTAAAAAAATTAAAATAAACAGCAAAAAGTTGATCAAAACTTTGATTTTTGAAAGCTATAAACAGACTAAGGGTCCAGATAAATTTGAAATAAGATTTT